AATGGGGATTCTAAACCGTATCCAACCGGGCTCATCACGGATGCAAGGAACTCACCATGCGATAGTTTACGAGGATTTTCTTGTGTTGCCTCAATGGCTGTAACGATTTCCTGCCAATTGACGACGTTGAACTTCTCATCTGTTCTCTCACTTTCAGAGTATCTGCCATTCGACATTTAAAACACCGTGATTTAGAAGAATTCAGTTGCTACATGAGCTCTGGGCACCGGAGCATAACAATATCCTTAGTAGAGAATGCATGATAATATGAAGGGGAAAAATTCTCACTTCGGACTGGCCAGTAGAAAGTACTGCAGTTCTTAATAAAATTGTAACCCGAGTGCAAATTACAAATGTATGCTCAGAGCGAATGTGAGTTAGCACCAGCCTGATTTGAGTAATGGGGTGATTTAGCCAGGGGACAGGATCGTCACCTGACCTCGGCTTATTAAAGATCGTCATCACCTTTAAAATTTTGGTTTCACATATCACTTTAAGGACAACGAAGTTATTTCCTATGAGAGTTATACAACAAGCGAGAACAGAGGATAAATATAGATACGGCAAGCAAGATGTTCACATGAACCCTTTTGTACGATTAAACTTTTTAAAATTTATGCCATTCCAGTTAAGTCTCGTTTCTGTTAATTCATTTATCAAGTTTTAGAGCCCATCAGATTGAATGATTTTCTTCTGCGATTTGTGTCGCTGTTCATATCAAACTCATGGGGTACAAATAGTCTTAACATGAATGTAGTGACCACGCCCACTTCAACACCCCACTCAAATCGAGTGTAATTTTCGAATGTTTTACCATCGTGCGGATTCTCTACGGAAAAAGCACTCAATGTACCTCTGAAATATTAAACTATAATATTGTGGCTTTCTATTTCGCTAATTTTCTAACTTGAAGGTAAAGTTTTTCCCTCGTCATTTTTACCTTTTCTCCGAGCGGTTGCGTGAAATTAACAAGGCGTTTTTGATCAAAACACGACCGAGCGAAGGGTCTCGGGCGATATCTCTTTTACGCAGGCGCAAATTAAAAATGTACCACCAGAATCAAAAAGAGGAACAAATTTCCTTTGTTTTGATATGTAAAGTGTCAAACAAAAAGCAGATTTAACGTCAAATGGCGTTTCAAAACAGCTGTATCTTCCTCCTTTTGATTTTTCCTGTTTTGTAAGCGTGAAAGCAGTAGGAGAGGGATCGGGAAACTCAGAAAGCGCTTCGGGAATTAATCTGCCATCGTTTACTTACAAGATAAACAAGTAAGATTTGTGAAGTTCGTTGAAGTATGAAGTCTAAATAAATGCCTTTTTAAAGCTTGTTTGCTGGATTTTTCGTAAACTTCCCTGATTAATTTTTCGTTTCAGCTTACTAGTCTATACTATTTCAAAGCAATGTCAAGACGAAGACGGAGAACCATGAGTCGGTCCTTTCAACAATCGTAAACAAAGTGTTTGAGCAATCAGGTATACGAGGTGTAATAATCAATAGCCGCATATCAGAAGTCTTCAGAAAGAAAGTATTCTGTCTTCAGAAAGCTGTCAAGAAAGCTAATAATCGTGGCGGAAGGCAATTAAACGGGCTCTCGGTATCGATTTAATATCATATCGATCTCAATATCATACAGTTTTGAATCTTTCTTCCGTGGATTCGCCTTTCTAACGAGGGTGTATGTTGAGAATTCATTGCAAAATCGCTTTGTTTTTTAATTTCCCTCCTTGACCTGTCCGCCATTTTGAACATTTGTAACGGAGAGCATGCGCATTACGTGGGGTAAGTGGTTGCGTACACCTGGAACCGAGAAAAACAAATGTTCGTCGCACTGGGGAAAGAGTTTGATATGCGTGATCATATCTGTTAAGTCACGCAATGGTTACGAAGTAGATTTTACCACTGGAAGTCATGATCTTTTAGAAGCAAAACAAAATACCAAGAAGCCACACAAATAGACGAAATCTAACGTGCCATTACGTAGATATACTTCCAAATTATCAGTACACGCAATGGGAATGTACGGTAATCAGCAGGTGAGTCCACAGGGAACTTTTTCATGCTTTTGAGAAACATGGAAAACTGAGACAGCGACACACGTTTTCCCAAATGTGAACATTGCGTCCTCTTATACTCGTGTATTTTTCTTTCTTCTTTTTCATGGAAGCGGCGTTTCACAATCGAACTACAAAAGCGTATAGAAAAAAGTGTGATTACGCGATTGTTAGACCCCGAGTTTTTAACTGCATGAGGAACGAGAAGCAGCTAAAAGAGGAAACATTAAATTACTACTTATGTGTTGTGGGCCATTAGCTAAACTATTTTAGAGGGCTTTCAAGGAAACGAATAAATTGACGACATTTAGGAAAAACGATAGCGACCATTTCATTACATGGACAACCTAGTTCTCAGATTGGGGTGGGAGGAAGAGAAACCCTGGGAACAAGGTTGCGACATCAGTACATAAATGGTTCCAATATTAGGGACACGTATCTCACCTTGAAAGGCTTCAGAGACAGCTATTGGAACAAAATCGGAATCGAGTGAGAACAAGAGTAACATCTCAGAAGCACATTTCATTAACACACTTCATTATAATCAGTCGTCGTCGTTAAGAATCCTAGAGGGTATACAGGACGGCGACAAAGATTTTTTCCCCATGCTCCCGACGAACTTTACAGCATGACTAAATAAAAGTTCTTTCAGAACAATTAATTAACATTGGCTTAGCCACTCATCCCTCAACGCTGACATGCGCATTCCTCGCAAAGCGACTGCAGCTTTTCGATGTAGGGCTTGTTGCGCCCAACTATAACATCTGAAAGGTCAACGTCAAAAGAATTCAAAATGTCCTTTAATACAGCAATGGGAAAGTCACTCATCTTCTTCTGGGACGCCAGCTCACACGAATTGTAGGCATCGTAAACAATTGGGTGTTTAGGTGTTAGCTCACGGACAGCCTCACCGACAATCTCGTCCAAACCAGCCTCAAGTGTAACAACTTCGATATCGCCTTGCTGCTCGTCATCCACAAGGGTTTTCTTCGAGGCCAGACGTGAAAAAAAAACCTACTATTTGGTGAGCGGTCAGGAATTCGTTACTCTTAAACAACACGTTGCCAGTCGAATCCTTGTCACACATCATTGATCGTGCAACCGCTGCTGGATCTGCCTTACTTCTCCTCTCCAATTCTAAACTTTGCAGTCCGATAGGACTTCTGGTTTTGGGTGAACCTGGTTCTTCCTGACTCATCTGACTTAAGTGCTTAGCCCATCACCTTCTGTTTGTGTTACTTACGGGCGAGCTGACTGTTCCGACTACCGGTACCAGCGTTGGCTGTCCCTCCAGGTACTCTGCATACTCTAATACAGCTTTGTCAAAAAGCGTCTCATGCTCTAGCGCACGTTGGTGTTTGCCACAGTCTAAGTGTTACATCATGGAGGAGTGCCTCAGGAATGACTTACTACATCCTTCTTCTGGGCATGTAAACAGTGCCTCGTTTGCTGTTGCAGGCTCTTCGTCGGTTTCCGTCTGGTCTCTGGTGGCATGGGTTTCACTTGGATGTGTTGTGGTAGTCCGCCCTTTCACGACGGAGGAGAAAGAGCTTGGGTGCGACAGGAGTATACTACCATTGACGGCAGAGTATCTGGTGATGGGATCTCAGCCTTCGGAGCAGATATCAGTTTCCCAGGTCCCACGCCGTATGCTCTCCATACACGGATTCCCTCTATAGTGAGCTCTATATTTGAGAGTTTACTCACACCATCAATTTTGCAAGTGACCATTGGAGGGCTTGTGATAGACTCGCAGCGGGTGACACTTACGGATGCCACTCCACCGGAAGAAAGAATAGCCTCAACCATCTGCGCGAGCTTCTCGATATCGTTGCCAGAGTTTAAGTGAATGTGCATGTGTGACTTTATTAAGGCTGCCTTACGATCACTAGCTCCTTTTCCAAACTGGGGATCTGAAAAATCCAATCGTTTGATCGCTACGCCCAGCTCTTTTCCTATCACGTTTGCGCAGACTATGGTTGACCCGCTATGGTAGCGGCCAGCGTTGTCTTGGCTATAACTGACTGTCTCCAGATCTGGCATGATGGTCTTGAGTTGTTTAATAACGTCCGATAACGAGGACCACACAGCTGTCTTGAGTGCACCTCTAGAAGATGTGAGCGAAGGTTAGCATTTGAAGACGTTCGCTAACCTTTCTGAAGGCTACGCTGGTGTGCCATGTAATGCCACGTTTGCCAAACAAACCGGTTTGGCTTTCTCGGTATTTTCTCGGCAAATATTTCATTGCCCAGTATAAGTAGCACTGATGACTCCTCTAATGACTCGAGGATATCGATCCTTGCAGCATCTTGATTTGAGGAGCGTACTATGTGAGCCTTCTAGTTTGTTATAGCTTGCTTTACAGTAAACGAAAGTTCTTCCTTGACTTCGGGTAGCAGGTTATATGTCTGGGCGATCATTGCTGATTCTATTTCGCTGAGAGATGAAATTAGTTGGTCGTTGCGATCACAGGTGTCGTCATGATGATGGTCGCACTGAGCTTGAAAGGCAAGCTCCTTTGGGTCGCTCAAAGCAAACAATATGCAGTGATCGGCCACAGTAGAACCCTGACAGGCGTGCGCATATAATACACGCAAAACAAATTACACACGACAGTTGATCAGACCACATGCTCAGATTGAAGCTTGCCTCTCTCGTAAAAGGGTATTTTCGTTCACACGGGTGCATGAGCTTATTCGGTAGAGAACCACCTTCTACAAACGTGTATTCCGCTCTTAGAACTTTTAACGTGTTTGAGAACGTTACATAATGAATATGAAAAACCTTCGAAGTCGAAGGCGGCTCTGTATATCTTTCGTCCAGCCCATCATGTCTTTTCTCGCGTCTCCAAGTCTTTCTGCGACGTCGGATAAGTCTTCAAATGCCTGCGATCCTGCAGAACTAACGTAATCTAAGCCTTGAAGTGACTTTCAAACAGAGGCGGGCTAAAACAGCAAGGATACGTAGAAGCGTACTTCGGCTCAAAGGCTTGAAACTCATCCTGTCACAGTCGGCCAAATATTGTTTGACCACTCTTTTAGGAATCATCACGTTTGGTATCTTTAAATTTTCTTTGTTGCTAAGCGTTACGGATCTTTCTCCGAATGGCAAATCTTGTACAATGTGCGAGCTTGTTATGAAGGCGATGAAACGCTTTATTTGCGAAGAAGCGATGTCTCTCCTGAATGCTCGTAAGGACTTTACTGGTCCACCTCTTCCATAGGTAAGGCAATGGCGTTTGGCGTCCGTAAATCGATAGTTGGTCAGACAAGGAATATAACGAAGGAGTTTGGTAAAGCGCACCTTATCCGCCAGGATGGAAAGTATTTGGCGACGCTTCTGCCAAGTGTCGGAAGCCTGGTAACATTGGGCAAGTGCCTCCATCAGCGTCACGTCCACAGTGTCTTCATTAGAGTCTTCTCCACTGGAGATCTGGCGGCGCGCCGCATCTGAGGAACACAGTTCGCGGAACGAGGGGCTTGCCTCTTGTGGTGTTGTCTTTTAATACACCAATCACACCTTTTCCAGCTTTCCGTGTGTAATAACGCTTGGTTCTATCATATTCTTTTGTTACTCATACCATTTGGTTCAAATAACGGCGTAACATCAGTTTAAAATGATAGCATTCTCTTTTTTAGCTACATGCATGTGAAGTACATTGCATTCACCTTCAAAACAACCGGGGCTGTCCTCACATCACCCACAGGTTATTTTAATAGCCGAAATTAATGAACACCTTCCCTCGAATTTATATCTAATAAATGCCCATAGAAATTTTAAATGTTTTCGAAATACCTCTCACTATTGATATGCAGCAGAGTAGCAAGGGTGACGTTCTAGAGAGATTCGGACATTGATGAGGCTAATGAGTGCAACGAACCTCAGGGGCATTGAAATTGAAAACTAACGGTTTCATATTCCTCTTTTTTCTTGTACTTTTATAGCTGCACGTAATATACTGTTATTACAGTTGAATTTCAATGTTAAACGTCAATAAATGCCTTCCTATAAAAACACCTGTCAGGTAATAATTCCACACCCCTCCTCCTCTTATCGTACTATATTTAAAAGACGCGCGGGGCGTTAATTAGGTCTTTTACGCCCCGTCTCTCTGACAATCAATATGTTATCTAAGTGCTGTTTAATATCGACCTGTGCAATGGCTTCCTTTTTAAAGGGTTCAGTTTATTACAGTTTTTGAAATTGCGGTATGCGTAAAATCCCAACATTTCAATTGCTCCTTGATAGTTTTATTGACGAACGCTCTAGAAAATATCTATAAACATCAGTTTAACCGGCGAAGCTAACACCAAAGAGTCGAAAATATATCTTTGTACGAAAACGAAAAAATGAATACATAATTAGGCCTCTTGCCAGAAAAGAAAGCGCCATCGATAAAATTTCATGAGATCAAACACTTTAATTATCTTTTTTATTAGCTAAGAATTTTTTTCTGTTAAAATACGTTTTGAAGGATTTTAAATAGTGGATTTATCTATCTGTGAAGTCGATCTTCACCACAGATGCACGTACTTGCAGGATTTCGAAAAGAACATTTAAGCGCAAACGAACGCTCTAGCAAATAACTGTGAACGGTCACATCAGTTTAGCAGGGGAAGCTAACGCCCAAGAGTCCAAAATATATCTTTGTACGTGTGAAGTGTATATAAAACTCAGTTTACGAGGAAATGATTGTTACTCAAATATTAAATTGGTTTCTCTTCATTTCTCAGCTTACAGTACGGGTGGGAAATTCAAGACTAGTTTTTGCCTTTATTTTGAAACCGATAATTGGAAAAACACTACACTCAAGAAATAAGCAATCATCTTAACCAGAGTGTGTTTCATCGTGGCATGTTTCATGTAACACATAAAATCAATTTTAAGGAGTGTTTCCACAGACGTAAATCTATCACGCCTTTCGGATATGTCCTTGATATTCTCACTCAGTAAAACGGTGTGGCTTGATGATTTAAAGAGAGATCTCAAAACCTTTTTTTTTATAGCAGAACTACAGTAAGGGAAACCCTACCCACCATTAATTGTTCAATTTCAGCCGTGTCTCTGATTTGTTTCTATCCTCGACGAAATCTTCTTTAAAACTGATTTGTAATATATTTTCTTGGACTTTAATATTTAATCTTCATTTGAGGGGGTCGGATTTTTTGTTTACCATGATGACAGCTATCAAAGTTACTGTCCACGTTTGACTGAAAATGTGTCAAATTCACATTTAAGCTAGAGAATTTTAGTTGTGTCATGACAAAATATGCCTCATCCTCCCTAAGGCTCTATAATACTATTATGACCACCCTTCCCCTCCTCATTGGAAGTTAATTGGCAGTCAACTTACCCCTGGAAAACCGTGTAATCCCCTCAAAAAATTCCCCTCCCCAGGGGGATAATTAAAGGTTCCCTAGTTATTTTTTCCACCCTAAAAGTATTTACATTTGAGATAACTGAGTTAAATATCATGTGTTTTTTCGAAAGGGGCAAGGGGATTCCACACGTAGCACCAAAGCAAATGACATAATATTTGTGCTAAAAATTTATTAAAATCACGAACGAGGCGAGGTACTTTATTTTTCATGTCTTGCTGCTGTCCTCCTAAACAAGCATGTCTACAAACTAAAGAATACCCGTTTAATAATGAATTAAACCAAAACTGTATCAGTATCACTGTTATTAGCTTATAGCAATATTTATGAATATTGCCACTTTATGTACTACCTCTGCTAATGTGATACTGCTAATAATGACAACGTACGTTTGTTCAAAACCGGTGCAGCCCGTTTTCAAACGGGATTATTACGTGCATATCTGATTATTCTATAGAGTGTGGATTTGTGTAAATCGGAACGATGCCTTCATTAAGGAAACATCTAATGCGATAATTAATGCGAGTATTATATGTCAATAGGAGCAAATAATACCCCAAAAACGTTAATAGAGTTAATCATTAAAAACCATGTTTCGCCTGAACATATCTGCTCTCGCTATTCTATTAAATATTTTAAAGGAAAGAGGATGCGTTGCCTTGTATGCTAAATGTAATGATATTTCTTGATGTGTTCTTTATTCTCCATTATTCCTGTCGGTCTTTTCGTCTTTTGAAGTGGCTTCCTCTGCTTCAGCAAGTGGTATGTGATGGACAGAGTGCCGAGTCCTGAAAACAGGAGCAAATTTTCAAAGGGTGAGTTAGTGTTATCAACTGAGTTGAAAACGTAAATTGGCCACTGTAGAGAATTTAAAGGCTGACGTTACGAGCGTTAGCCATTTGTCAGAGCGATTGGATCTTTGTGTCTTGTTTACATAAACATATAAAGTGATTTAAGTGCATTTAGGTTGTAGCATGTGTGACAAAAACAACGAAGAAAAATGCACGGTAACTGGCCAGCGTACGTAGGGGCTCATTCTCAATGCTTCCCAAAAGAAAGACAAGCCTTCAAAATGTCTAGCAATAGAATCTATGTCACAAATTAGAGAGTCCATTATATTTTCTCTTATGAATCAAATGAAGGATCGCCAACATATCGTATGTCTACGACTAACCAAGAATACAGGTTGGCAGATCCTAAAGATGTACGAGTGTGAAAAAAATTTCACTTTTGTACCTCTCTTTCACGAACGAAATAAAGAGGTCAGTCGGCCTATAGTCTGAAAGAAGTTGCATACGTTACATATTTACTTCAACCCGTCATTATTATAACATGTAGGTCAATGCTAAGAGTAGGGAAGACGACTGTGCATCACCCATATCAGCTTAGGTAGGATGACCTTTTTTTGTAGAGCCATGTCGCGCAGAATCTTATTCAAATGTCTATCTTTAGCAGGGACGCTTCTCAAGAGATTTACTAGACCAGTTTAGAGGACGTTGTCTCTGAAACAACATCACCATCACCCAAAACACAAAAACAAACAAACAAACGAAAACAGGAATTACTAGCCATGTACTCACATGGTTATCTGCTGGCACGCTTTCCATGATACTTGTGCATGTTCAGCGGTAGCGGCAGATGCCGGTGCGATTATTTCTGTTTGAGTCCCACGGTCACATTTAGTGTTGCTGCATCTAATCACTCTGGATTTTACTGAACTTCTTTCTTGTCTTTCACTGTCTTCATGGCTTGGAGAAAAACTCAATGCTCCAGTATCTTTCGCACTGGCCGCAATGGAGGGCTTCCCAATGATCCCTGACTGAAGTTGTGTTTTAAGCATGTTTTTGCCAACCATCCCACGTATCTCGCCTTGTAGGTCATTAAGTGGAAGAAGCAAGGCTAGGCAACAAGAAAAGGACCATTTTGGATTTTTGCGCCACTCTTTGAGGACCTGATGTAAGTATGCCAAATACTGAACTAGGAAGAAAATGATTGATCAGAGAATTAAACTTTCTCTGTTTAACTGTAAAAATCTCATAAGGTGTGGAATTACAAACCATAGAAGCCTGTAACGTAGTTTCAATTTTTAACCAAATAAATTAAGCAATATAGAAAGAATAAACTCTTTTTGTGCGTTTTATTTCAACGGTTAGTTGCTGTTCAAATATACTCGAGATACGATAAGGCTACCTTTAATGTGAATGATATGACACTACTGTGGTTAATATTTCGGACAACGCAAAGTAACATATAAAAGTTGCAGTTGAGTTTCTTTTCATGAAATTGACGTTTATCTTACCAACAAGGAGGCCAATCACCAACGTATTTGCCCCAATAATCAGTATTTTCATTGCCAAAGCGTCCTTGTGATGAGCCGCCATGTTTAATATGTTCTCAGTCGGAATTCTGCTCACAGCACCAATACCCAGATTTACAAGTGTAACGGCAAGAGAAGTGGACATCAGTCTGTTCTCAAAAGTGTCTTGCATGGGTTTGATCCAGCAGAAAAGCACTGCATACATACCGGCAACAACCCAAGCCAATCCAATGAAGGATCTGCTTTCTTGACCCACGAGAATGAGGCCGCACGTAAGAATGAATTTGCGGGACATTTCAATCAGTTCCCAGTACCAAGAACAAGGTTTGTAATTTTCGAAAAGAAATCGCAATCCGTCAACAACTTCTGGATCAGAGCCATTATGACTGTCTTTCTTGGTTATGATTGTTCGCCGATGCCTCCAAAGTGCGACGAGAGAAAGAGCCGGTAAAGCAATGATGTATGCAGCTGAAACATAAGCTACGATCACAAGATGATTGTAGTTTGCTCCTTGGCATATTATGCTGTAGTCTACTTTAAGGTACTCGTCACATAACTCTTCTCTTTTATCTTTGCAGAGTTTCTGGCAGGCGAACGGCATAACACTGGCTGTCCTCGAACAGGTGCTTAGGTATGTCACGTACAGGAAGAAAAAAGCGTTTCTGTAAAGGAGAACTTTCCCTTGTGAA